TGTGACGCACCCCCGCAACCACTTTCGTGACTTTCAATTTGATGTTGTTGATGTGTTTCTCCGGTTGTGACAGTGTCCTCTTCAAAGCGTATTTTGTGACATTGTTTCTGAAGGTGTTTGTTCATGAATAAATATACACAACTGCACGAAAAGATCACTCAAAGTGAACAGTTCCGATACAATTCATTAAAAAACTCTGTGGAAGTGTGCCTGACTTCTGTTTTTGTGGCCATAAACATCCCAAATGTGAACAATAACATTTTCTTTTGATCTCTAGCGTAAAACACTGTGGTTGGTTGGTTTGTTGTTTAACGCTGCACTCAGCAATATTCCAGCTATATGACGGCGGTCTGTAATTAATCGAGTCCGGACCAGACAATCCAGTGATAAATATGAGAATCGATCTACGCACTTTGGAACAATGACATGCATCAACCAAGTCAGTGATCCTGACCACCCAATCCCATTAGTCGACCTTTTACGACAAGCATACTCGCCTTTTACGGCAAGCATGGGTTGCTGAAGACCTATTCTACCCCGGATCTTCACAGGCCATAAAACACTGTGAGTAGATCACAGTTGTGTTTTCTTATTCCGATAGTGACCTTGCCCTTTGTTCGAAGCTGTCACTAACATGGAAGTAGACAAGATTTTGTTGATTTCCACGTCTTCAGTTAACATTAACGTCTTTGGTGAACACTCTGGTTTCCATCTTCCAAAACAGTACGTACAGGATAGAAATTCAGCTGAAAGATCAAGGGAACCGCACCATTTTAAATGATCAGCCAGGATCCCAGCGGTGCGAGTGACCGAGTGTTGGTTCGAGATTCAAAGCACTGCATTGTTTGACTTTTTAAGTTTTCTTACATTTGTCCTGCGTACTAAAAACAGTGCGCTTGAATTACCAAAGGTTGCAGAAATCCCAAAATAAAGATTTTGAGCATTGGTGGTGCCAGGTTTGCACACAACAGAAGGTAAATGCTGTTAATGTGTATGAATAGAAAAATGTCAACAATACCCATGTTTGGGCATATAGTAATATTCATGCACAACCAGATTTGCAACCGGTTTCAGTTTGGTTTGTTAACAAATAATATATTATGTATACTCACACGCAAAAGAAACGCAAGTGGTTTTAAGCAAATAGGTAACAAACATGGAACCATAAATTGATACGAGTTTTAACATGTAGTGAAGCCTGATGGTGTTATCAATATTTTTGGTTGCATTTTGGAAGCCCCGAGTAAAAACGCAACATAAAAAACGAATCGCCAAAACACACCATTTCAATGAATATGAGGGTATCATGCACCCATTTCTCGCGAAATCGAAAATGCACGAACTGTCACGAAGTGTAGTGGGTATAAAGCTGTGGCCGATTCTTGGACCTACCACTCCTTGGTCAACCATGCCACGCCTATCTCAAATTCAGAGAAATCAGGCTATCAGACGTTTGGAAGCTGGAGAGTCTGTCCAAGATGTTGCCCGTCATTTCAACGTTAACATAACCACAATTTACCGTCTCCTGCATCGATACAATGCAACACAGACCACAGATGACCTTCCTCGGAGCGGTCATCCTAGGGTTACCACACCTCGACAAGATCGGCAGATTACCCGTCAACACCAGTGACATCCGTTCCTAACTGCAAGTGAAACTGCTCGAGAGACCATAGGAACAAATAATCGACACATTAGCCGGGACACTGTGATCCGACGTCTCCGTTCCAACAACCTCAGATGTCGCCGACCAGCACGTCGTCCTGTTCTCCAACCAAGGCATCGACAAGCACGACTTCAGTGGGCACAGGGTCATCACAATTGGCGTCATCGTGAGTGGAGGTGTGTCTTCTTCTCTGATGAAAGTTGCTTATGTGTCTCCTATGCAGACGGAAGAGTCAGAATTTGGCGGCGTCGAGGTGATAGTTTCACTGACAGAAACATTGTGGAAAGGGATCCATGGGGTGGGCCTAGCATCATGATATGGGCAGGGATTGGACTTAATGCGAGACTTGGGCCCCTGTGCTTTCTGAATGTTGGTCAAAGTCGAGGACACGGCATCACTGCTCAGCGGTATATCGACCAAGTGATCAGACCCCACGTTGTTCCATTTTTTGCACAACATCAACAACACATTTCCCAGCAGGACAACGTTCGTCCCCATGTTGCCAGAGCTACCATGGCCTTTCTGCAACAACACAACACTCGTGTTCTACCGTGGCCAGCCCTCAGCCCTGATCTGAACCCCATCGAACACTTGTGGGATGAGGTTCAAAGGCGTCTGCACAATGTGCACCGAATCCCTACAACTGCTGATGAACTATGCACAGCTGCTCTGGATGTATGCAGGAGGATCCCTAGGGCCTTCACAAATCGTCTGATCCACTCAATGTACAGGAGATGTGTGGCAGTGATCAATGTTAATGGTGGTCACACCAGGTATTGACTGACATTTTGGGTATTGACCCGAAACTGTGTAAGCCCTTAACATTTGAAAAAAACAATTATGTCATCTGCCTTTTAATCCATTAAACTGTCTTCAGTCAAATTTTTAATAAAATCTTGCCCTATTAGTATTTCTTGTCTTTACTGTTGATAATAAATAACATGTATACTGCATACTTGACTTGCGTTTCTTTTGCGTGTGAGTATATTTACACTTAAATACTTATTTAACCTGGGTAATAAATAAAATACCACACTCATTCTCGTTAGAAACCATTTTTACAACACTCGTGAACTTTCTATGGTATCTGACCTCACTCTAGCTCGGTCAAATACCAGAGAAAGTCCACTTGTGTCGTAAAAATGGTCTCTAATGAGAATGAGTGTAGTATTCTCTATGTATCACGGCATCAGCTTAAAGTTGGAGGAAAGCCCAAAGTGATGCAGGTCTCTGACATTTACCACTTTGGTGAAACCCACAAGCACAGGTATGGTGCTGACAAAACCTAGAATAGTAAGTGGGGTGAACAGGGATTCAAACCCACACACATAGGTTTCTGACATGCCCAAGGGACATAACTCTTCAGAGAAAAGTGTCTTAGATGACTGGGCCACCTGTGCTCCCTGATACAGAATGAAGCATCTTTTGTTTACAGACAGAGTTCGGTTTAACGCCACTTTTAACATTATTCCAGTTATATCGCGGCGTGTCAGCTTAATGAGGGAGGAAAGCCCAAAGTGATGCAGGTCTCAGACGTTTACCACTTCGGTGAAACCCATGAGCATGGGTACGGTGCTGACAAACCTAGAAACATGATCGGGGCATACCGGGATTTGAACCCACAATCATAGGTTTCTGGCGTGCCCAAGGGACGCAACTCTGCACAGCGAATCGTGGCGCCTTAGACGACTCGGCCACCCGTGCCCCCAACAACATTCATTCCAACTGAAGTCAACACAAATAAAATATTCCAAGAGCTGTTGAAACTGAAAAACTCATCTCCTCCCCTCCTCAAAATGAAGACTCCTCTCTCCTCTCAAAACTCAAATCATAGTTTTAAACATATCACACAGATCTATAAACAAAGTCTTAATTCAATTTCCTTGTAATTCAAGAACATTGTGATAGTTTCACCTAACTAGTGACAGCTGATTTAGCCTTATTCCTCCTAAATGCAATTAACAGCTCCCATCTGCACATCAGGGCTGTGAGATTCACACTGAAGGAGCATGCTTCTATACATGTTTAATGACTCATAAATAAATCTAATTAAGTAGGCTTTGTAGATAAGTCTCTCCTAGAGAAACTAATTACCAATGAATTAAGGCACTTTTTTACCTTCTTAACTTAATCAATACAGGAATGTACATGCTTTCCATTAGATATTGATTAAAAACTGTCGCAAATGGATAGTCACAAAAGTGTTTATTTGTGTAAAGTGTTTAATTGAGTACAATTATATACCAAGTTTATAAAAAGAGCACTTACATTAGCACATGTTGTCACAATATCTGCCCCTAGTTGTGTAACAATTTGGAGAAAAATATCAATCAGGCTTGTGTTACAGAAGCTCAATCTAACAGCTAAACAACATCTAAGTGTATTGGTTGTGACAATGTGGTTTATGTTAGGTTAAGTAAGTAATAATTACTATATTTTAATTATCCTATACAAGTATCATATTTATTGCCCTTAATGTAAAAGATGGATACCATTACTTCAAAAACTGATATTACAACAGATGCATGTTGACAATGTTTAACATTGTAACACGATCTCCAAATGAAACATTGTGCATTTGTTTTGCAAAGAGTATCATCGCTGAACCCTTTTTTTGCTGTTTCAAGAAAAACAAAATACTAATACAACGTTCTTACTATTTAAATATAAACCTAAATATCGTTATGTGAGAAAGGAACACATGACCTCAAATAATTTAGATTCCAAAGTTAATCTTTGGACAGCACATCAGGTTTTCTAGGCCAGGGTCTCAATTGACAGACTGGCCTTCGCCAGACCGGGAATACACACGGGTGAAACATGACCTGTCACTATCGTGTAGGCTACAGTTTTTGTACCACTGCTGACAAGGACACCCCAATAAAGACCTATGTGCTGGTACAGGCATATCAAACACCGTCTGGGAGATCCATATAGTAGGGTTTTCATAGTCCTGACAAGTTAATCAATACCGAGTTCAGTGTGAATGGAATCTATCGGTAGTAAATACACGAGACACGCTCAGGTGCTCTCCGATGTCCCACAAGAGTGAAACCAGCGTGCAGAGGTGACGACACGCCCATGCGCGATGTTGTCAAGTTGTAGATGTTACATATTTGGTTGTGGCCTGGTGACATATATTCACACATCACGATCAATCGGTGTGACGGCATTCGTATGACAGCGGTACTTTGCAACACATGTCTTGTTCTTTCATAGTAAACTTTACAAGCGATAATTGCCTGTTTGGATAATACGGGAGCTCTCGTGTACCTGACGTGCCCGTCATCGCCTCACCTCAGCGTTTCCTAACTAGCACATAAATAACACTGACCTTTAAACTTTGACCAGTTCCGCTCGATTACTTCCCTCTTTACCTAAAACACCGCTCATTCAACTTCCAACCTGTTCTCGCTGAGGTATGTACACTCCTTTCGCAAGTTTTGTGCACTATTCGCTGCTGTTTGCTCAATTCAAGGTAGACAACTCTGTCGCGAACACCTGTCAGGTGAACTTTCTCATACTGGGGCTCTCTTGGGGATGAGGATGTTCGCGTGACAAATGCTTCCACGAATGTTGTTGTCGGTCTTATTTTTTGTCTGTCAATATCTAAAAAAATATATATTAATGTTCACTTTTTCGTGTTTACCTTAGGCAAATACGATGTGGATGACTCACTGGTGAACAGCTGTGTATAATATATCTCTATTTGTTCATGTATGTGGGTTTAGTTGAACGATTAACCCTTCTGTTTTATGTATGTTTTTCTTTTGGTTCATCCACGTGATAATTAATCAATATTAGCTGCCTCGACAACACGTGTTATGAATGGGCTGCGAGGAAGTGTAGAAACATGCATAGCGAAACGACGGCAGATAGCGTTGGTTGGTTTGGTTGGTTTGTTGTTTAACGCCGCAATATTCCAGCTATATGACGGCGGTCTGTAAATAATCGAGTCTGGACCAGACAATCCAGTGATTGACATCATGAGCATCGATCCACGCAATTGGGACCGATGACATGCATCGACCAAGTCAGCGAGCCTGACCACCCGATCGCGGCAGATAGTGAGATATGACGACACCGATAGTATGATGGATGGTTAAGTAGTTAATAGGCACTTAGTGGAATGATTCTCAGGTCCGTGTTAAGATATAGTCTTGGAGCTAGGGTCACAGGTATCTGGTTGACGTTGGGAAATAGATGGATCGGTGATGGATAGATATATATTTACAGGCCGCTAGATATAGATAGATAAACAGTATATATTGGCAAGTTGATAGACACGGGAAACGGGAGCATGTATACATGTACATTGATATATGGACCGGCGGACATAGATACGCAGGTAGATAGAAGAAAGATAGATAGATAGATAGATAGATAGACAGGTAGGTAGTAGATAGACAGACAGGTAGGTTTGTTTGTTTGTTGTTAACGCCGCACTCAGCAATATTCCAACTAAATGACTGCGGTCTGTAAATAATTGAGTCTGGATAAGACAAACCAGTGATTGACATCATGAGCATCGATCTATGCAGATGGAATACGATGACATGCATCAAACAAGTCAGCGAGCCTGACCACCACCCGATCGATCCCATTAGTAGCCTCTTACGAAAAGAATGGGTTGCTGAAGACCTATTCTACCCCGATAGATAGATATATAGATAGACGGATAAATAGATACTTTATCGATAGATAGAAAGCTAGACAGACTCATAGACATACAGATGATATTTAACGATAGATAGGTAGATATATAGATGATAGATACTAGTATATAGGTTGATAGATAGATAGGTAGATACATAGGTTGCTGGATATATAGATAGTCAGAATGATAAATAGACAGATAGATAGTTTATTGATAGATAGATAGGCAGGTAGATAGGTAGATATATAGATGATAGATAGGTTGATAGATAGATACATACATAGGTTGCTAGATATATAGTTAGATAGACAGAATGATAAATAGACAGACTGATAGATAGTTTATCGATAGATAGATAGATAGATAGACAGACAGACAGGTAGATAGTTTATCGTTTGATAGAAGGATAGACAGGTGGATAGATAGATAGTTTATCGATTGATATAAAGATAGACATACGGATGAATAGACAGGCATCAGATAGATAGATAGACTGATAGATAGTTTATCGATAGATAGATAGATAGATAGACAGACAGACAGACAGACAGGTAGATAGTTTATCGTTTGATAGATAGATAGATAGATAGATAGATAGATAGATATTGCTCACCGTGGGGCTGACATTTCCCTCTGTCGTCAGCTGTAACCAGCTCCTGGCCGTGAGAGAGTCAACACTCGTGACTAGGCAGTGAATGGTATACATACCGCTTTCAACACGCGGCGTTCATGGGACATATTTCCCACAGCAATAGTCAGCATCTATATTCATGGGGCGTTGCCGATCGCCGATATCGTTCTCAACAGGGAAATATATAATCAAAACATTATCATCACGATAGACCGCATTCTCAGCCGGTTTAACACAAATCCACATCAAGGCGCTGCCTTTGTCAACACAGTCAAACGAGAACAGACACCACGCCGATTCTGTTGTCACTAAATGGGAAATATATTCCCCAAACAGAGCGTCAGTTTGTTTTAGACAGCGGTATATCAACCAAATAGCAGTGATCTAAAGCCTTCTTCCATAAATGATTTGATCGTATAAACCACGAAGGACTTAGAAGAGAAAATACACAATCACAAACGTACGGAAAGTTAACTGATTGTCCCTCTTTCACAAAGTCTGCTTGACGAACCGATATTATATTTAGCGGATTCCCCAGACACATAGGTAAATATCTATTATTTCCCCATAAAAGACATTATTGCAGCAATTTTGTTTTAGCTTATTCAAAGATGTCGAACCGAGAGTTTCCTCAGGTCGAACGAACACTTTGGCTATCCCTTTTCTTCAAGTGTGCGAATCTGTTCTTAACTCGAGAAAACGTAGACTGTATGACCTCCCCCTTTTTAAATAATTTGTAAAATTAATAATGATTTCAATAACTGTTATTTTAAACATTATTTTATAATGTCCTATGCAATTCCCTATTCTGACTTTTACCATGCGTTCCCGTGTTCAGGTGAACAATTGCTTTGCCTTCAGATGTGTTTATGACGGGTGCCACCGACGGGGCAGAATATGGTCTTTTTTTCGCGAACACCTGGAAAAATCACTGTTTGATAGTGCTTCATGAACACATTCTCATCATAAAGTCGGAATCGTACAATCGACTCTGCTTTTGGCTTTTCGTTTGTTGTTTAACGCCACACTTTACATTTTAGAACTTTAAGTCTTCGATCACGACGCCTACTGTCAACATACCTGTTTTGAACTAGCTATAAAAGGATATTCATTGAATCAACGTTACGGGGTTCGAATACGTTTGTTTGTTTGCTTTTTAACGCCGCACTCAATATTCCAGCTGTATGACGGCGGTCTGTAAATAATCGAGCCTGGACCAGACAATCCAGTGATTGACAGCATGAGCATCGATCTACGCAATTGGGATACGATGACATGCGTCAACCAAGTCAGTGAGCCTGACCACCCGATCGCCTCTTACGATAAGCATGAAGATCATTTCTAACCCGGATCTTCCCGGACCTTGCTTTAAGCATAGATTTCTTATGATCATGGAATTGTTCTTTTTACTGCTTTTACGTACAGTTTTGTATCTCTCATTAATATTATTGTGAACGTCGTCACAGAAAAAAAGTTCAACGTGTTATTATTGCCCCTCTGTTCCAATGTATATTCAACCCTTGGGTGGTATAGCATCCGAGGCTAAGATTCTTTTCTGCAAATAGAACACCTCTAGAGTTGAGACGGGGCGGTCGGGTAGCCTTGTGGTTAGAACATTCGCTCGTCACGCCGAAGACCAGGGTACGATTCCCGACATGGGTACAATGTGTGAAGCCCATTTCTGGTGTTCCCCCGCCGTGATATTGCTGGAATATTGCTAAAAGCGGCGTAAAACCATACTCACAAGAGTTGAGACAAAATCCCTGATTACTGTTGGAAGACTAGATTGCTTACTGTACATGTTAATGAGCCATAGCTTTACAAATGTCTATATGCCATACTGATTCAACTGAGGCACCGTGTATCTATAATTATTGATTCACCCTTCACCCCTTTTCTGTGTGAAAAGGGGCGGTCGGGTAGCCTAGTGGTTAAAGCGTTCGCTCGTCACGCCGAAGACCCGGGTTCGAATCCCGACATGGGTACAACGTGTGAAGCCCATTTCTGGTGTCCCCCGCCGTGATAATGCTGGCGGCGTAAAACCAAACTCACTCACTCACTCACTCACTCTGTGTGAAAAACACCGAATGTATTGTTTTGAATAAACACTTTCTTGCTTAAACTGTATATCTATTTCTTTAGAATTCTGTACGGGCACAGCAAAGAGAGTTTCACCCATCATGAATTATTCAGTATGATAATGTTTGAATAAAATATTTTAACGACGTGACGTGAATGGTAAAAAAATGTTTCACAGAAAAGCCTCTCAAACTGGGTATTACAATCCTATCGATTTACTTTAAAAAATAGACGTGATAATTCCAAACACAAAATGTGAATGGGGCTGTCATTGCCCCGGGAAAGCATTTGTAAGAAAGGAAAACCGTCCACTCTCTTACAGGCTTTCGTGGCTGGAATAACATTGTCTGAATGGACAGTTTGTTCAATATTCATCCAAATGTAACATATTTCTTTTGTGATCAGCTTCCATCTAACAGACTTTATGTGAACAGTCGCACACCTCCCACCCTCAAGGCAAACCGTGATATGCATTTGCTCCAATACCAAAAAACAATTAAATGAATCCTAGTAATTAGAATCATTATGACTATGCCCTCAAATCGAACCTAATCTATGTCTTCCTGTTCTGTATGATAGTCTTGCTATTAAACACAGCTGGCTCAGTCACTATCATCTATGTGAACGGGGTATTGATTTGATTTTAATCTCTTCCATTAGGTTTTGATTTGTAACATTAGACAGAAATTCGAATTTGAATATCATTTCAGCGCCGGAGGTAAAAAGTGCTATGTGAGTTTCTGGTTGTTACAGCATAAGATCATCAATGCTGATAACATCAGGCAAGTTCAAATATATGCAAACGACATACAGTAGAGTCGTTCATAAAACGTGACAGCTTGTTACTGGGACATCAGGATGGTGTCACTCTACCAGCAATGCTCTCAGGTTTAGATCAATGCATTAACCAGTTCCCTCTGGTCGCTTCACCCGTGATCTCTTGACATCAGTTATTCATATTTCTGGCATTCCAGAATGTCACTGTGAATCGTTTGATAGGCATTACTTAGAAGTTGATAGATGACAAAGAGACATTTCATGCTTGACAACGGCATATGGATCTTCGAAACGTTGCCTTTACAGTAGATAAAGATGTTATCCATTAATTG